GGATTGTTAACCGGTCGCTACGCTATTCCAGCAACCTTCATCTCTACTCCGCTGATGATCTGTCGTAACGGGGTAAAGGAAATGCTACCGAGAAACTGTTGGCACGTCCAGATAACATTTTGTGTGCTGGATTGCAGGCAACCCGTGCATATGACTGACGCATTGCGGACGCGGGCAGCGATTTTGTTCCCGAACCTACGGCAATGCTCTCCATGTGAGGTGTTTCTACCTTCCGTGACTCACGTTCAAAGGCAAGTGCTGCTTCCTTGCAGCGCGTGCATACCCATTCGGGCCATTCACTCTGACAGTACAGTATGTACACATCTGCCCTGATACCTGAGCACCTGGAATGCGCCCACCTCTTGCACAAATCGCACGCAATTTCCTTCATTAAACCCCTTCCGCACTCCTTGAAGTTTTGAAGCCAGGACGGGACAGACAGAACAGGACAGGTCACAGGACTTGCGGTGGAGCCAGAAGCAGTCCAGTTTCTTGCAATTATGAACTTAGGAGCACCACGGCGCTCCGACAATTGTGCTATTTCGTTTACGTATACATAAGTGAGTGCGGCTCTGAAAAAAGAAAAGGCTCTTATGATGGTACCTCAAGGTTGCAATACAGGTCTGAGATTTTTACTCGATCAAAGCAACAGCTCACAACCCACCGCTCCGAACCACCACAGTAAGAAATGTGTTGTATAGAAGAAACATGACCTAAACGTGGTGACGCTGGATGTTGAAAAGTTTTAGTAAAATGTGTGGTGACCAGTGAATGAAAATGGAGTTGAGGGAGTTGGAGAAATCAAACTTTAGTATCTGCAGATACATGAGCTTAATATGAAGGGGATGGGGAAAGAGATGGACGATCTGCTAGCGACCTTAGGCCCGGTGTCATAAACAATCGGGAAACGTTGATGCCCAGGATCCATCAAGCTTCATCTTCAACTCGACAATGGTTTTTGACGCCATTACCGCATGAGGCAGCATGTTCCATGTGTTAATTACCCGGTGCAAAAATGGGCGGCTCTCCGGCGTTTGAGTGCAGGAGGCTTGTCTAACTTCACACTGTGCCCCATTCTGTTGGGAACGTTGTAAGCACTGGCTTACCGATACCCCGATCTAATACATATGTGTCGCAAACAAACGTTCGTACGAAAACAGAACGAGGCAATTCACGAAACAGAGAACGGGTAGTATCCTTACGAGCTGCAGAGAAACAGAGAGTTACGGAAATGTGAGCAAGCGTGCGGAAAATGACAGCAAACACGTGCTGACCAAAAAGGTGGCCTTGGTGTGATAAAACAATAAGATATACAGGTTACATGTAGAATGGAATTCGGTTGGTCACAACAGACGTCCCCGTAGAAGGCTAGGGAGAGCCTTCGATATTATTATTATTATTATTATTATTATTATTATTATGGTGCATGCATCGTTTGCCGTCGTTTGGAAGTCCAAAAGATGGTATTGCTTGATTTATTGCCACGAAATCAGAGAATCAGCTGCCGAAATAGTTTCAGGTGATGTGGCATGGTTGGCGGGCCGACATAAGAAATGTGGGGAAATGAAAATATTATGGAAAATCGTCTGCAGGTCCGTCATTGTTTCGCTACTTGCCCCGTTTTGCTTGCGTATGTGGAGGTTGTCTGTCAGTGGTAGACTTAATGGCATGAATGATATGACGGTGGTCGGTGAAGACCGTGAAGTCTTGTCCTTTGAGGAGATGGTGGAAGTGGGGGATATTGAGGTAGATCGTCAGGAGTTCTCGACCGAAGGCGCTGTAGCTTGACTCAGTCGGTCGAGGCTTCTTCGAGAAAAAGCTGTTGGTTGCCATTCCTGTTTCACTTGTTGTTGGAGCACGGCGCCAACTGCGTAGTCGGACGCATCGGCGAAGAGTGTTAGTTTGGCGGAGGGGTCTAGGTGAGTTAAGGTTGCGACATTGCTAATCGCCCGTTTGGATGTGGGTAACGTTGGCTGCCTGCAAAATCAGTGCTGCTGGGTTGGTAGCATTCTATTTAGTTAACGGGATTATGCTGACTTGCGCTCCGATATCTACCGTAAACCACAGCTTAGACGAGTTATCGCAGATAAAAAGGAGGCGACAGGGGGTGAGGGAGCCGGTTGAGTTATTCGCCGTGATCTGCCGGCCTACTACTGGTTTTTGAACGAACACGGCGGTTCGCACTTTCTAGCTTGATTGCCGGAGCGTCTGTGGTAATAGCACAGACCACCGCTAGATGGGGTCTGCCTGCGCTCGTTGCTTGACCGGGAACGATTACGGGTCGTGCGGGTAGTCTGCAGATCGTCGATTGTGGTCTGCCTAGTGTTCATAGCAAAACGAAGTTCGGCTAACTGCTTAGACAAAAGCTGCACTTCCGTCATGAGCTTTTTGGAAGGCTCAACGGGAGCTGAATTAGGAATTTTCTGGTGAACCTTGGTCGGTTCAGGACTCCCAACGTTCGCCATTGTGGGCTGAAAACGTTGAGGTTGCTCCAAGGCCCGGTCTGCGGCTTCGGCCACTAAGATGAGTGAGAACATGTTCAGCCGCTGAAGGCTTTCGGCATATGTCGCGCCCCGTAGGCGCGGGAACAAGACCGTGAACCTCCTCTGCACCCATTCCGGAAACCTTTGCCCTTCTTCAGAGCCAGGAACCAAGCTTGTACACTGCACTGTAGTTGCGGCTGAACGAAGTCCATGCAGAACGGGACTACCACGATAGGGTCTCTGGACTTCACTATGCGCCTCAACCAGAATAACGCTCTTTTGGCCGTACGTGCCGCAGCAAGACAATGAGCAGGGGAGTCAAAAGCGGAGTTCAGAGCAATCCCTAGGTCCCTGATCTCCGGCAGTACTGCCATAGCCTCCCGGTCTCGAGCTCCCATATAACTTGACCCAGACCCATGAGCACTCCCGGCTCGTAAGACCTTACACTTCACTGCATTTAAAGGGAGACCCCACTCTGCAGACCATGCTTGCAGTGCATCTAGATCAAGCTGGAGGCCTACCCCCTGATGTGAGTCAAGTAGTTTAACGTCGTCTGCAAAGATGAAAGTCGGATTTGATAAACGGGGATAAGATCATTGATGAAGACAAGAAACAACAATGGTCCAAGGACCGAGCCTTGTGAGACCCCGCTGTGAGCATGCCTGCAGTCCGACGAATCCCCCTTCATCCTAACACGAAAGGTCCTCTCTGTCAGGTTGCTTAATCTGAATAAACTAGGGTGGATCTTTATCGAACTTGGCTTGCCCAGCAGCAGCCGAAATACTAGTCTGAGTACGAACTATAACAACTGTCGTCGCGGTCATTTTGAACCAATGGAGTCCTGTAATTTGGAGAACTTGAATATACATGCCAGTGCGCGCGAAGTCGAATACTATCGTGAACCGTTCGAGATTTGGTGTATTACGCGGAAGGGACTCGATGAAGAACGTAAAACGGCTTATTTCCTAACGGTCATCGGGAAGGATGCATACTCATTGTTGAAGAATATGGCATTTCCTGACTCCCCTATATCGTTATCATATGAATCCCTGAAAACATTGCTGCTGAAGCATCTACAGCCGGCTAATTTCGAAGCTGCTGAACGAGCCAAATTTCATTCACTCACCCGTGGTGAATGCCAACCTGTACGTGACTTTACTGTTATCGCGAATTAGCTATTTTCATCTAAATAACGACAAATAGCTTATTTTTGAATAAAGGACATAGTGAGATGCCAGCTACAATTAGTTCGCTATCTGATACTCGCCGTACCCGGCTGCCAAAAGCTAGAACATCTCTTCCTGTTCCTTGCTCTGTATCCATGTCTGACATATTCGTCGAAACAAGTGAGAAGTGCAGAAAGATTGAAAGTGACCTGGAGTGCCTTTCTTCCAAAATGACTTCTCTTGACAAACTAGCAGCTTCACTTACCCCTCTCTACCAGTTCTTTGACCCCTCAATTCCTTAAACTGAAGAAAGTTTACTACACATAGGAAACTTCATAGATTCAATTTCCACAGAAGTCGCATTCAAAATGCACGCAATCCAATAGTATTCAATGTACCGGAGAGACTCCCGCTGGATTCGGTAAAATCGACCATCCTGTCGGCTTGTACCATGCTCTCGGTGCAGTGCCGATGCATTTAACTGCGTAAGCGGTCCCAGAGAACGACATGCTCGTTGCTATTCAGCTCCCAAGATCCATCCTATACACAAGAGTTCATCTGAAGTCAGGCTACGATTGCAGTCAACGCTCAATTCAAAAACGTTCGGGTGGCCCTCGATATAAAACGCCTCTACAAAGAGAGGTGTTGCGAAGTGCACTCAACGAAACCACACCCAGAAACCCGGCAATTCCAACTTCACCCGTTCGGGAATCACGCAACACTACTCTTGCAGTCACCACAGTCAGTAGCCAAATCATACCTCCATTAACAAATGCAGACCTGGACGCTTATGCGCCTCCCGCTGCTAGATGCCTACTAAATTAAAGACCGCACTTGTCTTCTGGTGGAAGTCGTTTGTTGTAGTTTGTAATCAGACCGGTATTTCGTATACCTATCTGATTCCGCGCACTAGTAGCCCGACCCAGATCTAGAACTCGAAAGGAAATCAGAAGTCAACTCAGAGGCGGAATGGAATTGTAATAGGCGGAATTTAGAAATATACAAGAATATCGTGTTCAATGAAACGAAAGAGTTCGTAGTTCATGAACAATCACCTTATCTGCCGCATCTTGAATGAAGCTCCGGTCTTCTGTAATCACGGCGGGCTTTGTTGGGTAATCTTCTGTATTCTTCTGTACTGTTTTCGACATTTGTACTGGGATATAATTCCTCTGGGAAAGACTCAGAAATAAAAGGATTAGTGGTTTCACAACTTGTATCAGGATTAGGCAAAGTACAAATTACTTGGTCTACATGTCTGCGGTGTACAGTGCCATCATCTAAATCCAATATGCGACATACTCTTTGTCCCATATTGTCCAGTACAATGCCTCTGGAGGGTCGTAAATCGTTACCACGATGATATATAACTTCCGCAGACTCCAAGCGTAGAAGATTTGTTCGAAGTACTCGACTTTTAAACAGCTTTGCTGGACTGTGTCCCGTAGATGAATGTACTGCGTTACGGTATTGCATCAGAAAGTTATCAACGCCTCTGTCCAGTTTGTCGAATGTACTGGGATTCAAAGAAGCAATGGCACTCTTCAGCGTGCGCATATAGTTTTCGGCTGCGCCATTGGATTGCGGATGTCGGGGTGGAGTGAGAACATGCCGACCACTCACGAAGTTCAACCAATCAGTAACTTTCTTCGCAGTAAAATGACTTCCATTGTCAGTCACGAGAGCATGCGGGACACCTCCTCTACTGAACGTTTTCCTGAGTGCTCGAACAGTAAATTCTGAACTGTTGGTTGTGGTAAAGTACACTTCTGGCCAACGGAAATAAGAATCGACGATCACCAATGCGTAATACTTGTTGAAGAATGGACCACACTAACCCACATGTATTCTTCGCCATGACTAGGATGATACTGGCCACGGAGTCCATTTTGAAGGCTGCCTGTGAGTTTTGTGCACACATTCAGCACAGGATTTCGCAACACGCTTCAGATCATGACTCAATCCAGGCCACCAGCATGTGAGACGAGCAAGAGATTTTATCTTTCCAATGCCGAGATGACCGGAATGTAAGTCATTGAGAACAGTAGTACGTAATGTCGGAGGTACGATAATGCGATCAATGTAGAACAAGACACCATCACACGTCACAGAAATTTCCTCACGACGTTTATAGAATTCCGGAAATCGACGCTTGATATC